ATATTTCTGTATTTACTTGGAAATGTACGGATGGATTTGGGTAACAGTGTAGGATTTTAAAAGAGCCAATTTCAGTAAGTTGCCCCCATTCGCTTTCTGTTAGCACCACGATTAGATTCCTTTTTGAAGAAAGAACTGAATGCCTTCATAGATGGTAGTCTTCCAGTATTTTAGCTATGGTGTCTGCTTTTTGAGAAGTTTCCATGCTTTGATATTACAAGTTGCCTTCCTTTCAAATACATGTGCCCGCTTCATGACTAAAATCTCCCCTTACTTTTGGTTAGGATTTAGTCAAAGGGAGAATAAATATACACAAAAATGATGTCTGTGTGGCTTGTAAAGAAACCATTAACTCATAGAATATTCACAGGGTAACCAGGGGAAAGCAAACCAGGGAGTGGGAGTTACTCTCTGATTTGTGGGGAGTTACTCTAAGCTGTAGCAGCTGTAGCTCTGGAATCCTTGGGAGGGAACAAAGTGTTACTTTTGATGTCCACTGGATATTTTTATTTTAAGTAATTTTTTAATGCCCATTCAGACTTTAGTTTCATTTTTTCAATCCAGTCCTATTCTGACTTTGATTTTCTTGCTCTGCCCACAAAGGTGTGATATTGTGAAAGTCACATTTAGGGCTGTTGGTTTCCAGTATATGCACTTTTAAATGTTGTTTGTGTTTCAGATAATAACTCTGCAGGGTTTTTCTTGATTTTTCATCACTGGAATAAATCATCAACAGAAATGGATACTGCTTTCTTAGATTTTATTCAGTTTCCTTTAGTTAATGATAGGCAGATGTGTAATTTCAATTAAGGATCTAATTATTATTTCTTAAATTAAAACCAAGCTCTCCAGCTCCTCTGGTCTGGTAACTATGGAATTTACTTGGCAAAAGTGGACTTCCTTCTGAGCATGGATTAGGGAACTCTCTACTTCTGTAATTTATGACATATTTTATTGTCAGAACTATGCTCTTGTGAGATCAAGCATTTGTCATAAATCACTTGAAAAAATAAATTGAGAAACTCTCTACTGGGTGATAGGAATCCTTTATTTTTGGTGATTGTCTACATTATATTTTGCCAATGTAAAGGGTAATATTTAAAAAAAAAAATTGAAGACCACTATCCTTATACCTGTGGTCCTGAGCTTTTTACTTTTTGACTATGGGCAGTTTATGATCCTTACGCTCACAGATGTTTATATGTGGGATAAACATCTCCCATTGATTTGCCCAAATCAACCAGGGCTGAGGCCAAGAATGAATATTACTCATTTTCCTGATGTTTCTGACCAGGTTCACCATGAGTTCCCTTGATTTTTCTGGGATTGGGATACAGCTCTCATGCAGGCCTTGAATAAGAGGCCTGTAGGTGCCTGTTGTGACTTGGGCATCTGGGACAGTTCCCATACCATTCTTTCATGAGCATACATGGGAGAAGTACCCATGTACATCAAAAAAGGGAATCCCACCATTTGGATGTTAGTTGTAGCTGAAATGAGTTGGATTTCCAAGGTACATTGCCAAGAGCTGGCTTCTTCTTTCCATCTGCTAGATCTCTGATTCTGCCATGAAGAGAGTGGTGGAGATGGTGGCTAGACTGGCAGAAGATCATCTCTCCCCTCAGCTATAACAGAGTCTCATCCTAGCGTGGATAGGTACAGTGGGAGGAAGCTTCTCAGGTGTGGCTGGGGCCATGAGAGAGATGGTAGAACTGGATTTCTGACAGCCACTGTGGGCAAGGAGCTGAGGAAGCACGCTGTTCCTTGATGAGGCCCTTCCACATCCAAACTGTCACCCCTCAAATCTAGAGCAATCATTTTATGTAACAGCTGTCACCCACACACCCACCCTTGAAACTCAGGTGAGAGTGAGAGCTACTTTATATTAAATGTTAATGATTTCTCACTAATTCATCACCTTTGGGGCAATTTACAACTTGGTTTTGCTGACAGAAATAGCTTTAGTTTTTAGCAGATTGCACAAAAGAGAGAGATTTTTTATTTTTTTCTGCCTGGAAATAATTATGAACATGGCTAGAATGAAGGTTTAAAAAGCCAATAAAAACAAAGAATCTTGTTTTATTTGGGGAAACAAATGGATCCTTGTAAAAGGTAAATGAAATAAGTGAGCCAAGAGACAGTAGGTCTGGCAGGGATGCTTTCCTGCTGGGATGAAGATGAAGAGGAAGAGGAGGAGGAAAGGGTGCATGGGAACCTTGGCTCCCCAAGGTAAAGGTTTAGATTTGGTGCAAGAACACAGGTTTCTCTTCTCTAGGAAGCATATTCAGACTTGGCTTGCTGTTTCCTGTTGTTGACCTCCTTACTGGATGAGGTTTCTTTGCGAACCATTCTCATAATTTGCTCACTTCCTTCTCATGACATTGACTACTGACCTTAGGTTCATGGAGAATCAGTCTTTCATGAATGGGTACCTCTTATGGGATCTGGCTTGCCTGCCACCATTACAGTCCAGCTTTTGAGTACAGTGCCAGGCACAGGCAAGTGATCAAGACATCTTCCTGTTAAACACATTTTTAGATATGAATTGAACAAACAAATGGATTTTCCAAGCATGGCCTCTGAATGCCACCAAGAAGTGGCTGTTTTCCATTAGATCAGAAGCCAACTGGAAGCCATGGCTGACGTCACCGGAAGATTTCTCGGCATTGCTGTAGATACGTGATGACATCAGTGTGTCTTCTTCTCTTTTCCTTTGTGTTTATCTTCATGCTAATTACTTTACATTATTCAATTTTCCAGCAAGTCATACATAACTGTATGCTGGGCCATATATTTACTGTTAGTCTTCATAGCTCCCTTTCATCGGCTTTCTTTTGTTAGTGTATGCTCCAGCTTTTGACTGATTGATTGATTGATTGATTGATCAATCAATTGATTGATTGATTGTGGTATCAGGGATTGAACCTAGAGCTTTCACACTGAGCTACATCCCCAGCCCTTTTTATTTTTTATTTTGAGACAGGTTCTTGCTAAGGGACTGTTACCTAGGCTGGGCTCAAACGTGCAGTCTTCCTGCCTGAGCCTTCCAGAGTGCTGAGATTACAGCTGTGTCCCAAGCTCCAAGGCCACCTCTTACTTCTTGATTCCTCCAGTTAGCAAGCAACTTGTTTCTAGGCATTTAAAATAGAGATGAGCTACACTTTAGAACATCACAACAAATCACAACGCTTCTCTACGACTTTACCTGGTTTCATCTCGGCAGCATTTGATATTCATCTCCTTTTTTGAAACTCCTGGATGCTAGATCATTGTGCTCGAGGTTCTTCTCTTGCTCTTGCCTTCCTTTCCTACCCCTTAAGAGCTGGTGTTTCTCCAGGTGACCCCAGGGTCTTTCTTCTGCTCCTCCTGCTTTCTGTGCATGTTCCATGGATTTGCAGCTATGACAAATGTACTAATGCCTTCCAGATCCAGCTGTCCTGTCCTGAGCTCTAGTATGAATCCATACTCTTATTTTCAGTTATCTATTACAGGCTCTCATGAGTTCTTATTTGTGTTTTACTATCCTCTCCTAAGTGGTTTGTTGATAACGTCTTTGCATACTGCTATCAGAGTTGTTTTCTGGAAAAAAGAGAAGTCAGCCATGCCATTTACCTTTAAAACTACTCTTTATAGATGCCAGGGCTTCAGAGCAAATCATACCACCAACACCACCACCGCCAGCACCAACATCACAACAACATTAGTGCTTGCTCTATACTAGACATTATTCTAAGAGCTTCACCTATGTACTTCTCATAAGCACCCTGTGAGGTAGTTGCTGCTTGTCATGGTTTAGATCTATAATGACCCCATAAAGTCTCATGTGTTCAGAGACAGGACATATGGAACGTGATTGGATAATACGGGTGATACCCATCAGCAGATCCATCCACGGATGAGTTCAGTGCTGAATGTGCTGTTAGGAGATGAGAACCTATTGGAGGTGAGTTACTGGAGGCATGACTTGGAAGGGTATGATCTTGTCCCTTGCTCCTCCCTTTCCTCTGTTTCTCTTTTTTCTTCCTAGATGCCGCGATAAGAGCACCTTCCCTCCACAGGCCCTTCCATCTGTTTCTGTCTGGAAGCCAACCAACCATTGACTGAATCCTCTGAAAATGTGAGCCAAAGTAACTCCCTCCTCCTTTAACTTGCAGATGCATCAGATATTTTCTCTCAGCAGTAGGAAAACACCCAACACACTGGTTTGTCTCTCTTTCACACAGAAAGAAATGGGGGCACAGAGATGTTTGTAACATGTCCAGGGTCATGCGACTGTCCTCTGCTTATGCTGCATTCCAGTCACATCAGCATTTCTCCTATTTCTCAGCATCCATCCTCTTTCCCATTGCCTAGCCTTGTGCCTGCTCTTCCCACTGCCTGGGAATGTAACCCCTGCAGGTTAATGTTGTCATCCATTCATTTACCAAGTTAACTCTGGCCCATCTGTTCCCAAGCTATTTTCTCTGCAGAGATTTAGAATTCTGTGGGCAGAGCAGGTCACTGTCATCCCTGTGCTCCTACCTGCCCCACGACAGGACATTCTCTGCTTTATTACACTGTGTGTCTGGCTCCTTAAAATCAGAAAGCACTTCTCTTTCATGTGTTTCTTAGCAATTAATCAGGGGCCTACTGATAAGAGTTTTTCGATGGAACCGGTTAACCAGAAGCTCCATGAGGTCAGCGACTAAATCTTTCTTCTTCAGTGCTCTGTACCCAGCCTTTAGGATAAACACATAGGCAGTGCTCAGTTGATATCTGAATAAAAAAAAACCTAACCAGATCATCATCTTTGAGTGAAATGAACAAGCAGAACTTCCTATTTTTATGCCTTTTTTGTAGGCAGCAGTCTGAGAAGCCTACATTTGATAAGTATTAATATGCGAGGCTTAGTGAAGTTAAATATTTTGTAATGTGAAGGTTACCTTTCATGGATTGAGAACAGGAAAGGAGAAAGGAGGTAAGGGAAAGTGGGCTCGGCTGTCTTGACGTGGGACTTTTACCTGCTGGCCTGGCTTGATGGGGGAGAGTGTGATGCCCTGGGTGTTGATCACAGGCAGGATCTGGTTCCCGATGACGGTGGCGATGATCTGGCCCTGGGCATTTGTCAGGAGCTGGGGGGTGATAGGCTGCACTTGAAGGCCCTGAGTGCCGCTTGTTGCTTGGCTTGAAGGCCCTGGATTAGGCATCAGTGGAATGGTCCCAATAATCTGCAAGAGACAGGCACAAGGGTGAGGACCGGGGCTCAGTTGAGGGGCTATCCATGCCACTGAAGACTGCCTGCTGCTGAGAGGCTCCCAGAAGGCAGTTCAGGATCTGTGAAGGGGAACATGGAAAACAGGGTAGGAGATGCATATTCAAAGAAGAGGTAACCGAATGTGGACAGAATTCACTGAGGGAAGAAAATATCTTATTTAAAAATAAAAATCAAGCACAGGTAGGTACATAAATGTGCAATTTCTGCCAGGGCAGCACAGGTTCCTGCACCTCACCTATGTGAACTCATGCACTCTTCATAAGCACCCTGTGAGGTAGGTGCTGCTGAGAGGATGGAATTCTCAGCACTCATGGCCTTTGTCTACCTGGAGAGCCTAATCTTCTTCCCACAAGGAGCTTCATGTACCTTGAATTCTAGCGATCCTCAACCAAAGTCCATCCCTTCCATCTACTCCTCTAACCTTGCCTTTCCCTGATATCCTGTTTCTCAAGGCTGAGGTTGATGTCTTGACACCCCCAGCAAGATTAGGAGCCTTTAGCATCCCAGTGCTCATAATGGTTGAGAGCCCAGGCTCTGAAGATCTAATTCCATTCCTACCCGTGTCACCTGCTAGCTGTGATACATTTGTCAAACGACATAAGCTTCTCAAAGGCTTGAGAGAATCAGGACCACAAATGTTTACCTGTCTGAAATTCTTAAAATAGAGGGAAAATGATTTCTAAAGGCTGAAATCAGAAAAATATAATAATTTTTTTTCTACTGAGGATTAAAACCAGGACTTTCAAACCAGGGTGAGCTACACCCCCAGCTCTTCCTAAAAAAAAAAAAAAAAAAAAATTAAAAATAATTTTTGAAACAGAGTCTTGCTAATTTCCCTGGCTGGGCTCAAACTGAGGTTCACCTGCTTTAGCCTCCCAAAGTGCTGGGTTTACAGGTGTGCACCCCCATGTCAGGCTTTAAGTGATGCTTTTTAAACTGGGGCTTGAAGGGACTCTAGAAGACGGGCCCGCGTGGTAGGGAGCAGGACAGGCTTTTCTTTGCATCCAGTAAATGGAGCTTGTAGGTTGACTTCAGCAGGGGCCTGGCTATGTCCAAGTGCTCTGGATATGTTAGGGTCAGTAAAGTTAAATATTTTTGTAATGCAAAAGTGATTTTTCATGGAGGAGGGAGGAAAGCATTATGGATTGGAGGGAGCAACAGACATCCCAGGTGTCTGGAGAATTTACACTTTGTTAGGGACGGAATAAATCTGTAAGAACCTGAACTGTCTCCAGGTGCTGCAGGTCCCTCTCTAGAGAGTCATGGGGGAGCTCACTGTGTGGGTGTCATTCCTCCTGTAAACACTGTGGGACGGTTACCCAGCTCTGCTCCCTCCCAGATGTGAACCATAGTTCCCACCACCTCAGGATCATCAACACAGCAATGAGAAACCTCAGGAAGCCTTTTGAGGTTTATGCTTTCCTCTGCATTCTAATAACAACTCTATGGGCTGGGGATTAGTCATGGCTCCACTAATTCCACACGGAGGTAAAGAAACACCATGGAGTCTCTTGCGGGAGCAGTGGGGAGGTGACAGAACTGGAACTGAACTGAGATCCAGGTCTGGCTGATTCCAAACGTTTGCTGTTCCATCTTTGCCTCCTCTCTCCACCATCTACAGACGCTGGGAAGCACCACTCTTCCACGGCACACTGCAGCCTGGTTTGTTTCCCATGAGCCTAGAAGCTGCTGCACACTGAGTTGATAAATGACCTCAGTTTCCACCCCCATGACACTCACACAGGCCTTTGGAAATAGTTTCTCAGTAAATGGTTTCTTTTCCAGGGAAGTTTTTTGAAAACCAGGACCTAATACATGCGAAGCACATGCTTTAGCACTGAGCCAGACCCCCAGGCTGTAGTGAATGGTTTTTTGACTCAACTATGACTGGAAAACCAGATGCCACTGGGACCACAGAGGAACCCCATGGCTACACTCTGTGGGGACAGATCATGCTGGATAAAGTTCCTCCTCCCGGGGCTATTTCCTCCACCACAGAAGACTCTGGGGTTTGACCCTAATGGAGGAGCTGAGTGAATATCAGGTGTCAATGGAAGTTGTCATGGATTCAGATAAAAGTCAAGGGATTGCTGTGGAGTGGTAAGCTGTGCCCCAGGGAGCTGGCGGCCTGCGGTCAACAAATCTGTGAGATCTATCCCAAAGCATCAGCAAGGAACATGCGCCATCAGCACCAGCGGCTCAGGAGGAGTCCACCGGGAGAAGGCATAGTGTATAAGTATTATATTGATGAGTGGTTTTGTGTTAAACAGCCTGGGGTACCACTTCCTGTGACCCCACAGGCCGTGTAAAAGAGGCCTGGCGAGCAGAGCTGCTGTCTTAGGCCAATTTGGGTAATTTCCCTTGCCACACACACAACAGTGGAAGCTCAGCCACCAGCCTGCCCACCTTGGCTGCCCTTGTGTCTCAGGTCGCCACCTCACTCTGTTTGACTGGCCTGAGCTGAAAGCCAGGTGCATGTGGCAGGGCTGGTGGGTTCTATTTTAGGTGTGATGTCACTGTGTTTAGGAGCTTGTGAGGGTGAGGAGCTTGAGAGAAAGCACAGCCCATGACAGTCACGGAGTGTGCTGTGATGAGGAGAGAGGCTTGCTGCCCCAGGATGATTGACAGGAGTCCCTGCTGCCTCCCTGGTAACAAGATGCACTTTGTGGGTGAAGGAAGGAGCAGAAAGACAAACAATGCTCACCAACTTCTTCCCTAAGGAGAGCCTCGCATCCCAGCACTGAGCTGTGGCATTTCTCAAGCACTTGCCACCCATGCTGTATGATCTAAAAATACAGTGAATGCTTAAATTTTAAAAATTAATTACAGTAAAATCCACACTGCCATTATTCATCCTCAAAACCCTCCCTCTCACTTTGCAAACACTCATCCCATCATTCTTGCCACTTTGTGAAGCAGTTCTGGAAGTCGTCTTTCATGAGTGTCTCTAGCTGTGCTGTTGTGGTTGCCTCAATGTCCTGAACTGATTAAAAATGTTGCCTTGTTGAGGTCATTTTTGACTTTGGGGGCAAGCCCAAAGTCACATGGAAACGGATCTGGTGGATAGGTGGATGAGGACATACATAGTTTTATAAGCCTGCCTTTACCTTGGATGTTACTCAGCAGCAGCATTCACCATATTTTTGATAACACCTGGTAAAGACACTCAAGAAACACCCAGTAAAGTCACAAAAGAAGACTTCCAGAACTGCTTCAGAAAGTATCAAGAAGGGTAGGATAAATCTGCTCAAAGCAAGGGAGGCTATTTTAAGGAGGGGGTTTATAGCAGTGGATTATTTACTGTGAAATTTTTTCTTAAATGTTCACTGTATCACCCTTTGTATCCCCTCGCCAATCTCCGCTCTCTTTTTTCTTAGGTCTGAGCATCACTCATCAGGCATAGGACACTGGAATCATTGGAGCCAGAGGACTCTGTAATGGTCCGATGGAAAGAGCCTTGTGCTATACTGAGTTGCCCATGAAGTGAGGGGCAGGGTCAGGCATAGATCAGAAGTCAGGAAGCCTTTTGAGAAGTTGTGCATTTTACCCTTTTGCTCCTCCTTCAGTGGCGTTGGCACCACCATCTCAGCTTGCCTAAAATGTGGCAGTGCATTGTGGAGAATTTTGTCATATTCTCTAAGGCATCACAATATACTGGTTTTAATTTGCTCCCTTTTGTTGAAAGGTACAGACGATCACACCCTAGATTGTCTAAAGATTCTCTGATGAGCCTGTTTTGCTTAGGATGGCTCCAATTTCCCTTAGCAATTCCACACAGCCAGATGGGACTCCCGCTCTGGCTTCCTGGAGATCACCACAAGGAGCTGAGAAGTGCTGAGGTAGAGAGGTCAAGATGTTCCATACTCATAAACAGTTATCCGTCTCAGCACTTGAAGTCACATTTCAAACTGGCCTTAGATTCAAGGGAAGTGTTTGCATCTACACATATTTCAATTAAATCAGGAAATTAAAACTGAGGTTTGATAAAGTCATAGGGGATTCCTGGTTTGAAGGCAAAGGTAGAAAGAGGATGCTTCTGAGACCTGGTCTTAAAGCTAGATTTTGGAGGAGTTGACTACCCAGTTCCTCCAAATCCTATGGATTTACTGCCAGCAGAAGTCCTGATAGAAGATGGTGTTGCTGAACACAGCGCAATGAAGGTCTGACTTTTGCTTAAGCCATTCAATATTCAAAACTAACTCATGCTCTCCTAAAGTATGAAGGACTCTGGTAGTGCTACTGAATACATGGAGAGCCTTTCTTCTATAAGCATCAGATCCTGTGCCACGGAGATGAGAAGGAGATACGATGGGACAGAGCAGGGGTGAGAAGACACTAATGCAAACATTCTACCAGTTGAAGGGAGGAAATGAAAAGCATGCAATGAGTAGGCAAGTACAACTGATAAAAATATCTAGACTTACATTGTGGCTGCTCAAAAGAATACTGGGAAGGAATGGGCTACTTCAGAGGAAGAAAGGTGCAGGTGGTTCAGGCAGAATCTCAGAAGGCACGGGGGCTAAATGGTGTCTTAGAGATTGAGTGGGTTTGGGTAAAGGAGTGAGAACTAATGTGATATGAGTGATAAGGTGGGAGACATGGAGGGTGGTGAGTGGACCCGTTTGGATGCAAGAGGAGGTTGAGCCAGGCTACAGGGTCCATCTGTCCAAGGGCACAGGTCATGGCTTTTTTTTTCCAGTACTGGGAATCAAACTCACGACCTCACGCTTGCCAGGCAGGCGCTGTGCCACTGAGCTAAATTCCCAGCCCCTGGGTCATGGGTTTTGATGGGAGCTGGAGAAGGAGGTCTGGACAAAGCTATTCCAGGAGTGAGTATGACAGCATTGGATGGAATGAACCGAGGCAACCACAGAGCAGGAGAGCTGGGATGCTATTGTCATCATCCAAGTGTGAAGAAAAATGCCTCAATGAATCCTTGGCCCTTGATTCTTT